TTACTGCTGGAGAGAGACCGAGACAGTAAAAACTCATGCTAGAATTACCAGTTGTAGATCAGAAGTCCAAGGGCTTGTATAAATTCTGGGGGCAGTTTCATTGATAATTTGCTGATTTGGGGGGGGAAGTCATTTAGGTTTGAATGTCCTATGCCACACATGCATACATGGAACATTTATTTGGTGGCTACTGAATATGTACTGTCTTGCTAGGTTCTGGAGCCAAGACTGCCCTGCCCCAAAGACGTCTAACAGAGATGTTGAAAGTCCCGCTGATGGCTGTTGATGGTTGAATATTTCCTCTACTGTGCAACCCCCCAAGGTGGGGGTGCTCATCACGGGACGAAATCTCAGCAGTCCAGGCCACATCGGAAACGTGTAGAAGCCCCTTCAGAAATGGTGACAGACCTCCATTTCCCGCCCGCCCCCCCAACATACCCTTGGAGGACTGTGAGAACTGCAAGTCTAGAAGGATCTTTATAACCTCAAAGTGTGGTGCTATGGGCAAAAAACTTATTACAGGAAAATGAAGATCTAATGAAGAGAAAAATGAAGGGCTTACCAATGAAAGCCCAACAGTGCAATGTTACTGCATTATTTACAGAATCTCTTTACACAGACATGACCAGAAAACTTTAGCATTTTGTTCTTAGAAAATAACAAGATCTAATATTTTGAATCTACTTTATGATTTATAAAATCAGCATATTTTGTTTTTATGTAACTTTTCATGGTAATATTAAGATGGCAAAATACTATGTTTCCCATTTACATGTAAAGAAACAGAGACCCAGAGAAGTAAATAACTTGCCTTTATCTCACACCTCATGAGTTGGCAGGGCCAGAAATTAAACTAAGTCTTCCTTGCCGAACACTAGTGCAATTTCCACCACAAAGGAGAACCTGAACGAAAATAATAAATGATCTCTCCTTCCTCTCTAAATATATATATATATTTATATATATAAAATTATATTTATATTTGGTTGTGGTTATTTGGTTATTTTATATATTTGGTTATTATATATAATATATATTACATATATATTTAGCATGCATATATATATTTGGCATGTATATATATATGATTATTATATATTTGGTTATTATATATACTATATAGTATATATAATACTAATATATATACTATATAGTATATATAATATACAAATATATATATTTGGCATGCATATATATGGTTATTAATATATATTTGGTTATTATATATATTATATATTATATAATTATATTTGGCATGCACACATATATAATATATATTATATATATATATTTGGCGCATATATATTTTATATATATATATGTATATATATGTGGTTGTGGGCACGGGGTTGGCTAAGATTCAATAATAATCAAAGCTTAATGATGAATAAAGACCAAAAGCTGGGAGTGAAAATTCCACAGATGCAATAATGCCTGAACTTCAGCTAAACTAGGAATAACCAGTCCATGTAACCATATATAAAAATGCCTATTTTTTTTTTTGATAAAAAGGTCCCAACAAAGCATTAAGGCAAATAAGCAGTTCAAAATGTAAAAAGAAAATTAGAAACTTTCATTTGTAAGGTACCATAATGTGCCTCTTAACTGATGCTATTGGCAAATAAGGTATTCTGATGAAACTTCTGAGTATTTTTATGTTAAATGTGTAAGAAGAAAAAAAACTAAGCACACATATACATCCCATCAAACAGAACAAAGATTAGATCACTTACACTTTAAAAATGTGATGTGTGGCCTCCCCACACTGTCCCCACTGTGCGTCGCACCAAGCTTTAGAGTGCTGCGCTCTTGGGCATAAAGCCTTAAGCCATAAACTCAGAGCTCTGACTGTTCCCTGCCAACCCTGTCTCCTCTTCTCTAGTGGTCACTTCTCGTTTTGTCCTTGGTGGTGTTATTCCTTTGGGCTTCAACTGACTCCCTTCATCCTGGCTTCCTGTACCTGCTGCTCCTTAGAATTCTCTGCTTTTGTAATCGAAGGAGGAGCTCCAAGTTATCAAGGGAAACCAGAAAACAAACTCAGTAAATATTCAAACATAAAACATCCATACATGTTTGTATATGTGTATACACACACACACACTCACTCTCTCTCTCTCTCTCTCTCTCTCTCTCTCTCTCTGTCTCTCTCTCAGAGTAAATGTGCCAAACTGTGTCTTCTCAATGCTTACATCGCTTCCTTCATTACCAACAAGATGAATAGATGGCATACAGGGCAGAATTTTCATGAACTTGAGAATTATGAAGAATAGAACAAACAGATGATGAGATCTGGAGTTGTGAAATTTTGGGTTGGGTCTGGGTTTGGAGTGATGATACTTTAAGATGGATCTAAGTTTGAGCTTATGATTCTGAATAAACTAGTTGATTGGGTCTTATTCTAAATGCCTTCATCTATAAAAAGGGAATAAACATAGTATCTGTAGACCATAACTTTGTGAAATTAGTGCCTCAAACTATATAAAGTATTAAAAATAATATTTCATTATTAAATCACAAAGACAGCCATAATTCTCACATATTTATTCTCTCTTACATATACACACACATACACACACACACAGGACAAAACAGTAAACAAATACAAACCACAAACACAAGTTGGTCATTATTGTCACAAAGTTCATAATGAAAATTTATAGCCTTGTTTCATGCATGTAAGCACTAAAGATTCTAATTGCCAAGTAAATAGGAAATAAGCTATATTAATACAAGTCTTAAAAGGCACTTATCAAGTTTCATTATCCATTACTGATCAGCTTTTTAATGAAGGAAAATGATGTACAATTAGGTCTTTCCATATTTTATACTTCAGTTACAAAAAATAATTGTTTCCTCAGCTATTTCCATAGAAACTACTCAAAACAACAAAAACTAAGCCAACATTTCTAGACAACCTTCTGCTTCAGAAGCAGAGAAGGGTGGACTCTGGAGAGAGTGGAAACCTGGGTCCTGATACGGAGGCCGACCTGCAGGTAATACCACACGACACTTTGTTCTCTTCACTAACGAGTGAACTCAGGAGGGGAGTTGTTAAATCAGAAGGTAATGGTAGAATTAGGAAGGCGCCCGAGGTAAGTATCACCCATTTATCTTCTACTGAGCTAATCATAAAATTAAGAAAAAGAGAAAGGGTGGAGGGACAGCCTTCAGAAATAAGCTAATTTCACTATTTCCCATTTTCCTGAAATCAGCCTTTTGGTAACAGAACCCATCTTTTCCTAAGAGAAATGCCCTGTCTGGTTTGGCTTACTGCAACCAGGACCAGCCTATCAGATCCCTGCATTCCCCAGCCACAGGGACAGGTCTGGAGTGCAGGGAGGGGGCATGTGAGTCAAGTTTAGTCCAAGTTAAAGTCAACTGGGGTCTTTGTAAGAACTGCTGAGAACAGAAAACCTCTTCCTGATGCCGGCCTGACTACATGAGCTTGCATGACTACAGAGCGAGAGCAGAGTCAGGCAATGCAGAGACTGGGGTTGAGTTCAATGACCTGGCTTACGAACACTGCTTGCCTGAAGCCAAGCCGACACAGGACTTTCCAGTTACATGGACCAATGATTTTCCACTGGTGTTTAAGCCAGTTTGTGTTGAATTTTCTGTCACCTGTAACCAACAGCCCATATTCGGAGAAAGAAATATGGAACTCCTATTACCAATTCAGTGCTGGGTTTGGGGACTATTAATCCTTAATAATGTAAATAATGCAAAATCAACTCTAGAAGCAAAGAAATAATTAATCGATCAGCTTTTTTTAAAAAAATCCCAGAACAAAGGATATTAACTTGCGGTCTCCAGCAAAATAGAGATGAAATATTTGAGTCATTTATGCCTAAGTCTCTGAAGCACCAATTTATCTCTCAGAAAGCTGCCCTGAGAAATAAATCTACAGGAGTCTTGATGTTGAACTCTTTAGTGAAAATAAGTGTCAATTATACAATAGGACTTACACTAATCGCAAAAATTCTACACTTCAACCAGTCATAATAGTCAACATTAATAAAACCATCTTGCCTAAGTCTGATGTTAACTAATTGCTTGCAAGTGAGGGTAAGAAAGACAAAAATAAACCAAAAGGCTGTTTCTCCTTAGGAGGTACAATTACTTGGACAGAAGAAAAACGTGTCTCAAATTTTTCATTAATTATCAATTTGAAAACCTTCAGTAGGAATAAAGGTAGGACTCGAACAGTGACCTGGAATCTGAAGTAACTGTTAAATGAAATCATTCTATATAGAACACAACCTAAATTACAGAAGTGAGACTGATAATGTTTTAGTTTGCTACGAACACATAAACTTATACAGTTGACCCTTGAACAACACTGTTTAAATTGCACAGGTCCATGTATACGTAGACTTTTTTTCCAATAAATATTGTATGTGCATTTTCTCTTCCTTACAGTTCCTTAACATTTTCTTTTGTCTAGCTTACTTTATTATAAAAATATAGTATATAATACCTATAACATACAAAACATGTGTTAGCTCATGCATTTTATGTTATTGATAAGGCTTGAGGTCAACAGTAGCCTCTTAGTAGTTAAGTTTTGGAGAGTCAAAAGTTGTACACTGATTTTCAATAGCACAAGGGGTCAGTGCCTCAACCACTGTGTTGCTCAAGGGTCAACTGTACGGAAACACACAAAAAAATGATTTTGTGTGTTCCTGCTAAAAATGCTTTTTCAGATAATATAAAGTTATGATAACACAGAATTATTTTTCAGTCTCACTAAAAAAGAGACTGAGACAAACAACAAAAAATTCTTTATAACTGGTTGATTTCAGTTTGCAATTTCAATTTATGCCCATTAAATATTGCTCAGTAGAAAATCTTCAGGAGGTTTTTAGAACAGGTATTATTACTATGTATCACTGGCAGAATCCATCAAAAATACTTTTTGAATTATTTCCCAATAATGCTATAGAGTTAACTGTGCAAACAGACTACACACTAGGAGAAAAATGTGTAAAAGGAACACCCACATGAACATTTACCTTCCACTGCTCTTTTGAAGAACACTTTGCAGCTGCCACAGGTTACTACCCCATAATGACATCCTGAAGCCTCATCCCCACACACCAAACATATTTTGGAAGGTCTTGAGGATCCAGTAGAAACACTTCGTAAAGTAGAGCTGGGGAAAGAAATGAAGATTTCAATAACTACGCTGTAATGGCACCTGGACAAATTCATCACAAGTCACGGTTCCGTAAATGAATTCAGTACGCATTGGTCACATACTGGGACTAAGAAAACGAAGGTAAACCCTACCCGTGGAGTAATGCTCTCAGCTGTTCTGTAGAGGAAAGCCTCTTGCCAGTATCGAGAAATAATAAATAATCACATAGAAACTGCTTTCTCCCTTTTCCTATTTTTGAGAGAGTTTTCCAAAAATGTGCATTCAAGGTGGGCAGAGAGGAGAAGGATCTTGAGCTGAATAATCAATGGAAGTATTTTTGGCATCAAAGAACTATTATAATACTTCTCAAATCTGTTCACCCAGACTCAGATTAGATATCGCAATTAAGCCAGATTTAAAAAAGAAAAAGAACTCCCCTTTCAAAAATTTTCCGCAAATTAAAAAAAAAAATTATTGCTTCTACCACTAGCAATTTTATCCTACCCTTGAGCTTCTGTATTTTTTCCATGTTACTTTACATAGATGTGTTCGAATTACTTTATTTTGCTTACTAATTTGAAGGGACACAGACAATATTTTTTTTTAAAAAGCCATAGATGGTAAATATCTCAGGTATTTTTCATGGTAAGAAACTGAGGGCTTCTGAGTAATAGTTTTTAGGTACAAATCTAACCCTTTAGGTAGATACCTGTGAGAATACATTTTAAAAGGAATCTTCTCAAGATGTGTAATACAGGGTCTAACACAAATAATGCGCCTTTTTTATTATAAAATCTTTGATTACAAAATTGTAAGCATGTAATTCTATAACAACAATATCACAATAAAGCACACCATATGCCATTTTAGAAACATTCAAATTAAAACTATAAATTATTACACCCATATAATTGCCCTACCAACCACACTCAAGCAGGCGTTACTTCTGCCAGATCCTGTATATTACTGTGTTAGTTCATGATACAGTCTGAACAAAATGTTTTAAATTCTAGTAAGGAATCCTAGTTCTCTGACAGATTAGATGTGTTCTGAGAAGGCAGGAAGCTAATTTCTTTCATGCATAGTCTGCAGACACTTACTAAATATCTATCTACCCATAGGTCCCGTGCAAAGTACTGAGAAATTAAATATATTGGGTTGGCCAAAATGTCTGCATATTTTTTTTCTATTAAAAAAAAAGACACATTTTTCATTTTCATCAAAAACTTTATTGATTTGGATATTTTGACTATGTTGGCTCTCTCCCACAGGGTATAACTTTGATTGTTCTCAATTAATGTCTTGATTTCATTGCTATTAATTTCAACTGGTCTGCCCAACTGCAGAGCATCATCCAGAGAGAAATCTTCAGCCCATAACTTTGCAAACACTTTGGACATATTCGATCAGTCACGGTACCCTCTCCATACACTGCACAAATCTTTTTCGCATTTCAGTTGCATTTTTACCTTTCTTGAAATAAATAAAGCATAATATGCCAAAAATGGTGCATATTTTCTTCCATCTTCAATATTAAAATGGCTACACAAAAGTTAATTGATTTTGATGTTTTCTTTTTTCAATGCATTCTGACGTGACAGCTGTCCCAATACAATCTAACAAAACTGTTTTGAATGAAGTTAAAGACAAGTAAGTCCTACTGCAGCCATTGTACAGAAGAAACCAAATGAACTTTCTGGCCAACCCAATATTAACATACAGCGGCCACCTAGCCTCTGTCCTCAGCGTTCGTGGGGACGAGAAACAGTGCCGTCAGCTCTATGGTGTGCGGCAACATGGTGGCGTGCTGTGGGTTCAGCCCTCTGCACTGGAAAGGGTGGGGACAGATGGGTCAGAAAGCATTTCCTGAAAGGTGAGAGCAGCACTGAGTTTGGGAGCCGGACCAGATGACAGGCACACCAAGAAAGAGGGCAGAGGACGCAGGAAGTATGACGGCTTAGAGAAATTCTAGCTGGACATGTCCAGAAAACTCTGTGTGGATTGTTATGGTGCCGCCCTCACCTTCCTGTCAGGGCTTTTGTGTTCATGTGAACCAGGAGGCATGTGATTTAAAAAAACAAAAAAACAAAAAAAAAACGGAAAAAAAAAGAAAACATACCAAAAGGCTAGAATGGTTGTGACGCAGTAATGATGCCTCTGCTTTCCAAATTAGCTGAAAATGTGATAATATTGCCATAATAATTTAGGAAAAAAACAATTTTAAATGTTTTAACTACATTTTCACTAGAAACAGATGAAGGAACAAACTATTTAGCTGCTCAGAGCACTGTAGCATGACTGACTTTCTAGAAAATGACTTCTTAAATCAAGGACTGAAACAATGTTCTCCAAAGTTGTTTCTCCTGAGAAAAGAGCTCTTTATTATTTTTATTACTGTCCTTTGACTTCTTTATGGCATTCAAAACATTCCATTTCAGCACCAGTAACTTCTTCAGCATATTGGCCAGTAAAACTCAATCCATACTCTGATTCTCTTACACTTCACAGGAAAATATGACTTCTGTAAACATTTAGAATATAAGTTAAAAATCATCACTAAACTGTAATGGTTCTTCATGACTACAGGCATAGAAGGGATCTGTATTTAACATTTTTGTGAGCCTTGGTTTTGGTCCCAATACTTTATCCTCTTCACTGCAGTCTTTGGTGCTCTCCACTCGTTCTATTCAAACTCACTTTCTTGGTGATCTCATCCTCTCTCTTGGCTTTAAATATCACCAATATGCCAGGAACTTCCAAACGTTTCTCACCAGTCCAAACCGCTCGCCAGAATTTTGGACCCATTTATCCAGCCACCTATTTGACATGTCCCCTTGAGTGTCTGCTGTGCACCTCAAACTTAACACGTGCACAACTCTGCAGGCCTTTCCCTGCCCCCAAACCGGATCTTCCCACAGATTTTTCCGAGTTCAGGCAACGGTCACTGTTATGGGCTGAATCATGTCCTGCCCCAAATTCCTATCTGGAAGTCCTAGACCCTAGGAACTCAGAGTGTGACCTTATTTGGGAATAGGGTCATAGCAGATATAATTAGTTAGATAATTAGTTAATTAATTAATGAGGTCATACTGGAGTAGGGTGGGCATAATCCAATGTGACTCGTGACCTTATTAAAAAGGGGAAATTGGGACACAGACACATGCAGGGAGGACACTGTGCAAAGGTGCAACCGAGATGAAGCCAGGGATGCTTTCACAAGCCAAGGACTGCCAAAGACACTGCAAACACCAGAGGCAAGGGCAGAGGCACTGAACAGATCTTCCGTCGTGGCCTTCAGAAGGAACCAACTCAGCCAACACATTAACCTCGGACTTCCAGCCTCTGGAACGATAGAATAATGAATTTCTGCTGCTTCAGCCAGCCAGTTCAGACTCTGGAGCCTGGTTACGCAGCCCTAGCAAACTCATACAGCTATTTGGATTCATCCATGATTCTTTTTCTCTTACACTACACATCGAATCTGTTAAATTTAATTCACTTCACTCTTAGACTACATTCATACTCATATCACTTCCCACGGCCTCCCCTGGAACTACTCTCTCCAAGCTCTGAATTACGCTTGGGATTCGCAAAAGCCTCTAGCAGATCTCCTTGTTCTCCTTGCCCTCTTCCCTCCCCTGCAGCCAGGATGACCTATATGCTCCCCTTCGCTCAAAACCATCCAGGGGCTTTCCCTCATACTCTGAGTGGAAGTCAGAGTCATCCCTTTGACCACAGGGCCACAGTCTGGCCCCTCGAGATGTCTCTAACCTCCTTCACTTGCGTATTGCACATCAGCAGCACGGTCCCTGTGCTGGCCCTCGAACACTCCGCGCTGGGGCCTGTGCGCCCGGAGACCCCTCCCCTGGCCATCTACACAGCCCCTCTCTCATCTCCTTCGGGGCTTCGTCAAAATGTCTCCTTCTCAGTCAGGCCTTCTCTGACCACTCTGCTGAAGAGACTCCTCCCTCAGAACTTCCTGTCCCCCTTCCTGCTTTACGTTTCTCCCTGGTGCACGTCACCATCTAACATGTGATCGATTCTACTTCTTTAGGCTGTTCATGGTTCACCTCATCCACACAAGAAAGTAAACTCAATAGGGGCCAGGGTTTTCTTCAGCGTTCTCACCGCTGTGCATGGAAGTGCACCCGCGACCTGAGAGGCAGCCAGTCAACCCTCCCATGAAGGGGCGAGTCCAGCTAAGGGGCACTTTCACAGCAGCCATCTCGGAACCCACCGCGTCATCAGTCCTGAAGGCCTCATGCCTTCCTCACATGAGGAAGTGCAATGTGTGCTTCACTGTCTGGAGAGTGAAAAGTGTGTAGCAGCAGAAACAAATGAAAAGAAACTGAAGAGAATGTTTAGTATAAAAAAAGATGTGAAATCTGAATTAAAACACTACATTTGTTTAATTACAAAATTAAACCAAACATGAATTATATTTCCTTCTTGTTCACTGACATCTTTCAATAATGAAAGAACAAGTTTGCTTCTAAATGCCTCTCAGCAGTCGCCTCCTGCTTCCGTTCCTGTAACGCTGGACTGAGCTCATTCTCCTGACAACACCCCCTCTATTTCTTAGGCTCCCCTTTTCTTGATCACCAGTATAGATTTTCTCCAGAATTCTACCTTTGGCCATCTTTTTTCTTGCTTCTACCTCTGTCCCTTAATGATGTCATCTATCACCCCAGCTCAAACAGCTCTCTTGGTGACTGACTTTCCAAATCTTTATACCCAGTGCCAACCTCCTCCCTGTGTTCCAAATTTGTGTTTTCACTTCCTTCACATCACCTCTCTGTGCTGTGTTCTGTTAGCTTCTGGAAGGTTACTGCCATCTGCTAGTCACCCAGATTCAACCCTTATACCCCTCCTTAACTACCAAATACAACCAGTCCCCAGGCCCTGCGCGGTCCAGCCTTGGCACACACATCCCCACTCTCCCCTCACGGCGGGTGCCACGGCTTTAGTCTCATCACTCTCGGACCCCGTCCTCCCCTGCCTCCCTTCTATAGAGT